AAGCATCATCGATAAGAATGGAGACTATTTCATTTAATAAATGTTTTGTTTTGATAGATAGGTTGTTCAGGTTTTTTCATCTAAACATTTTTTGACAATCTAATACATATTTACTCAGTCGACCAGTCCAGAGTCTGTTCGGTAGAGTTGAGGTGAGTATACACTATACAAATCCATAATACATCACTGATGTGCCCTCCTCCTACAGCCAGTATCTGTTCAGTAGAGTTAAGGTGAACACACACACACTATATGAAACAATTGCATAACTGAAGTTTTCTTCAGTAGCTGGAACCTGTTCCATAGTGTATGCTCAGTAGAGTCGAGGTGAGCACCACTATATGAAACCATATTACTTAACTAAAGTTTCTTCTTTCTGCAGCTGGAGTTTGTTCATTAGAGTTGTGGTGAGCACACAAGGTATGGTCTAAACACACCCCAATCTCACTATACATATTGTGTTGCTGACCTCTTGTGTGCAAGTGCCTGGATGGTCATGTTTTTGCGTTACCTTGTTAAAGAATAAGGTTACCACAAGTTACTGCATGTGGAAGTTGTGTCACCCTCCTGTTAGTGGAGGGCTTTCATTTTGTGATGATGTAACCATACACCAACTCAGTTCATGTGAAATTAGGTAAGGGTTCCTTCAAGACTAGTGGTATGCAAATCTCTTTGACAGATGAATGAGGAAGCTAGCTAATCTGTGTACAGGAGGTATCTAGTGGAAATACATTTTCAGATTAAGAAAATTTTAACGTCATAAATGTACCATTTTATTTTGGTTTTGTTAACAGGGAATGGAAGCATATAATACTCGAACATTTAAAACAATAAATGAAAATGGAGATAAAGTTTATGAAATTAGACTTGCTTCAGTGGCATCAACAGGTAAGTAACTTTGATTATGCTTTTTTTTAAGATATGATTTGCAGTAATTTTAATGCACGTACAAAAATTTAATTGGTGTATCAATTTGTCTCTTCATGGTTTTATTAGCTATAGGTAGGTGTGTTGAACTTTGGACATGAAAGCCTCACAGTGGGGTTTTTTGCAGTGGAAAGTATGCTACATGGCTATTGTCAAAATGTATGGTTTTTAAATAATGTACGATTGGTAGTGGTGATATTAACTGTAACACCTTGGTGAAGCTCCATAATCATTTCAGTATAATGTATTCAACCTCTGTATATATATATAATGCCATGTTTGTTTTCCATGATTTTTAAAAACCTATTATTGCTATAGGAGTAACACTATGAGAACCTGAAAATAAAATATCATTGTCTTGATATTTTAAAAGAATAACATATAGATGTAAATATTTTACATAATACTATAATTATTTTTCTCTAAAGCTGGATGATTAGTAGAATTTGCCAAATGATTAATCATTGGGCTCATTAACCATTTCGCTTCAGGCAGTTAAAGAGCTCATGTCATTACCTCTTAGAGAGTTATTTTCAAAATTTTATCAAATAACTGTAATATTACTTATGTCAATGGAATTGACATCAAAATGGAGCTTATAATTCAAATTTTAATGTTAAATTTCTTAGTTTAAAAGGAAATGTAAAGAAAAAAATGTTAAATATAAATTTAGGAAATTCTGACAAATGAGCAAGCTATTCAACAATCAACATTTTCTTTCAGCAAGTAGAAAATAATGAATATTAACCAGCAGTAACTTTTATAATTATAAAAGTAATCGTACCCGATTGGTTATTATGTTGTTATCCTCCAACTGAAACCATCAGTGAATACTCCAAACTTTTCACTATTATTCTGTTAAATGTATGTGTTGCAGTATCAGATGAACCCATGTTCCTCACTAGTAAAATAAATAAACAAAAACAAAACTATCACACATTTTATTTGATTTGTTTCCGTATGTTGTATATTTTTTGTGGTATTGTTCTTAATTTCTTTATTTTCACTCTTTTGTATCTTTTCCCCTTTTTCACAAATGTTTTAGTATTTCACTGTTTCATGCACATTTTATTCCTGTTGTTTTGTGCAAATTCTGTTAAATAGAAAATGAACAATAATAAACAATTTTTTTTTTTATTCTTTGTGAACAAAAATTAC